AGGTGCGACCACCACTGCAAGGGTTAGACCGAGCCGAGTAACGATCCTCTACAGCACACCAGATAACCTATCATCGCATCGTGGCCCTGATCTGATCGCACGGTCATGGTTCATCAACCAGGATTAAGGGCCTGTCTTCATCGTAATCGAGGATACAGAGGTACGGCCTGTAGAGCTGATCCTGTTCAAGTAAGGTCGCTACCTTATATATACAACCACTTTTCTCTCAGAACTACCGATGTGGGACAAAAAAGCACATACAACTCGTTGGGTTTCGAGGATGAGGCCCATTTATATATCCAAAGCCCAACTTATTGCTCCAATCAGACTAATGAGGGCATTTCAGATTAAAGTCCCTTTTATTTCCAAACACATCATTTTCTACATGCTATTAGATGGAAACTGCAAACCGCTCTTTGCTTCTCAGATATACATACAATCCTTCTCCTCACAACCTCGATTTGCCTCCTACCAATCTTCTTCTTAGCTCCCATGCCACCGCATCAATGAACTCTTCTGTATTCACATACTCCTCCCTCCTCACCCTGTCCAAATTACAATGTACACACACAAAACTCAGTTTTGTTTAACTCATCTTTCTAGCTCCATCAATCAAGCTCATCTTTTTCTGTGGTTCAAGTCTTACTTGGGTCCGTGGATCAAAACAGCGAGATCCTTGGTCATTTTTCCAGACTCCACCGTGCCCATACAAGCTGCTTCTAGTTTCTCCGTAAAGTTCAACAGTGCCGCATTGCTGTCCACCTTTGCCCTGGTAAGATCACACACAAAAAAACAAAACATCTTTTGAGATGAAATCAACCAGCTTTCAGCAACTTTCAAGTCAATCTATGTGGTATGGTCTATGTGTTCAATTGATCCATTATAATGCCACAAATAATGAAAATTCTTACTACAAACAATCCATGATAGACTGACTAAATAATTCTTCGCAGTCACTTCCAATCAAGAGCAAATTCCAGGCATAGCAACGAGACAAGCATTCCCAAGGGAGAAAATATTTAAACAAAAAAGCGCAGATTCGCTACCTGTGGGCAAGGCCTCTGGACCAAGCAAAAATGGAGGCTATGCTGTTGGTGCTTGTTTCACCACCTTTTTGGTGAACTCTGTAGTGGCGCGTAACTGTGCCATGAGCCGCTTCTGCTTCAATGGTCTTTCCATCTGGACAAACCTGCAATTACATCCAGAATATAGCAAGTCTCGCGGGAA